ACACTTAATATAAAAAGCTATTGTAGAATTAAATTTCATGCTTACTTAGATACAGGAAGTACAATAAGCTTGTGCTTACCAAATGTACTACCATCTGAATACTGGATATATAATTCAAAGAAGATAGTCACCGCTAGAACAGCAGGTGGAAATAAGGTAATATATATCAAATATGCTACACAAGTACATTTTCTAATTTCTTTTAGAGAAGTATTTGTTGATACAATATAATGTCAACCACAATTGAATATGATATTTTATTAGGACAAAAATTCCTATTAAAATATGCACTATTCACACAATATATTGATAAATATATGTTCACAACACCTTGTGCACGTAAAATATTTACACCAAAAATAAATAAAGCTGTCACAATAGCATATACAGATATAAACCATCAGAGTTCCTCAACCCAGCGTGATGGATGTTGGAGTATAGAAAAATTTAAACCAATTATAGTCTTAAAAATGACAACAGAAAATAGGATTGAAAAACTGAAAAAAGAAATTTCTGAAACATATTCTGAAAATCTATTAGAAAAATGGAATACAGACAAAGTAAAGGCAAAAATAGAATTAACCAATCCAGACACTATAGTTAGAGTCAAACCCATGAAATATAGTATTGATGATCAAAAGGAATTTAAAGATCAGATAAAAGAATTGTTAGAAGCCAAGTTAATTAGGCCTAGTAAAAGTCTACATAGCAGCCCAACCTTTATGGTTAGAAAACATAGTGAGATAAAAAGAGGAAAAGCCAGAATGGTAATAAATTACAAAAAATTAAATGAAGTTACTAAATTTGATGGATACTACTTGCTAAATAAGGACACCCTTATTAAACAAGTACAGAACAAAAAGATATTTTCAAAATTTGATTGTAAGTCAGGGTTTTGGCAAATCATGCTTACAGAAGAAAGTAAACCACTAACTGCAATAGTACCCCCAATCCTTTAGGACAATACGAATGTAATGTAATGCCATTTGGGTTGAAAAATGCACCACGGATATTTCAAAGAAGAATGGATGAGGTAATCAAACTAATTACTCATTTCTGTATTGCATATGTAGATGATTTACTTATTCATTCAAATAATATTGATGAACATATTGAACATCTTGAGAAATTTTGTTATTTTATGAAAAAACATGGTATTACACTTTTTCAAAAGAAAGCTGAGATAGTTAGAACAGAAATTGAATTTTTAGGATTATTTATAAAAGAAGGAGAATTGCAATTGCAATCTCATATTGGAGAAAAACTTCAAGAATTTCCTGAAAAAACCAAAGATAAAAAACAATTACAAAACCTCCTTGGTATATTAAATTATGTTGAAGGATTCATTGAAAATTGTGCCAAATTGAAAAATTATTTTCTTCCAAAATTAAGAAAAAATATAATGTGGTCTTGGGAAGAACAAAATTGTGAAAATATAAGGAAAGTAAAAGAATAGTTAAAAGTATTGTCCAAACTTGTAATACCACGAAAAGAAGATTTCTTTATCCTTGAAACTGATGCTTCAGATAATTACTAGGGAGCAGTATTAAAGGTTAAAAAGAATCATAAAGAATATAAATGTGAAAAGAATTGTTCTTGTCCTGAGATACTTGCAGGTTATACATCAGGAACATTCAAAAAAGTTGAAACAAGATATGAGACAAATAGGAAAAAACTCATTGCTGTAAAAAGAGGAGTTCAGAAATATGAAGATTATCTATTACCAAAAAAGTTCTTGATTAAAACTGATAATACTCAAGTTAAAGCATTTTTGAAAAATAATGTTGATCCATCTATTGCCAATAGATATATTATTAGGATACAATTTGGTTCTCATATTTCAAATTTGATATTGAATACATAAAAGGAGAAACTAACTTTCTTCCTGATTATCTTAGCAGGGATGGAGTTAGAACAACTAAGAACGAAAGTCCAAATACTTGAGATAAAAGTTTCCTATTTGGAAACACAAATTCAAAATATTCAAGATAGCCTTCGAGGCAAAAATATAGCCCTTGAGGCAGAAGTTACTTGTACCAAATCTAGTATCCCTTTGCAGGGATTTGTGAATATTAATGCTCTCCCAGAGGATAAAGGGAAAGAAAAGAAGATAGTAGGAACCCCTTCACACGGAAAATTTGAACATTTTATCGGTAATAAAGATATTCAAGATATCAAAAAAGAAAGTAGCTCTTCACAGAGCCCAACTCAATCTAAATTTTCTATTGAAATGATAGATCCAAAGGATATTGTCAAGATATGCCATGAAACAAAAATTCCCAGAAAAGATAACCATGAAGAAGTAACACTTTTTATTGTTATTTTTAATATTTTATCAGATTGGTATTTGGAGATTGGAAAGTGGATGAAAACTCTCCACTATTCAAAATACAATAAGATAAATTTTTATCCAGGAGCACCAGCCAACTGGGTTCGAAATTGTTTTAAGATAGGAAATATACTTTGTATATATCCTAGCAAAGATCTCAAAGAGATGCTCAACTTCCAGCCAACATCAGGAATGCTATTAAAAGATATACGAAAGTCGTCAAGACAACAAATATATATATCAGATTCCATTCAACAACCATGGAATGATATCCCGTTCTTTAATATATGCATCCATCGTTCCATGTGATAAAAATGGGATTTACAAATCAACATTTTTTACCAACCAATCAAAAGATTGTTAAAAATGGATATCAAGATATTCTAAATATAATGCCCTACAAAAGAGCAAAAGGGTACAAAGAGATATTTGAACATGTAACTCAGATAATTACTAAGAAAGAAAAAATATGGGTTTATCCATCTGAAGATCATATTATATATTCCAATGCAAGGATGGCTATCAAGGAATAAGATATTTGTTATCTCGACCACTTATTATCTACAATTATTTCCAACCAAGTGCATGGATTAGAAGATATGGCTAAAGAATTATGCAAATTACTCTGGAATTACAGTGATCACCATTGTGAATACTGTGTAGTTGAAGATATGAGTCAAGCATCTCTTAATAGTGAAGAATTCCCTGCAGAATTCTTTGATTCGAAAATGGAAAAGTGATGATGACAAAAGTAGCCCTTTATCACTACTTTAATAAATAAATTTATTAAAGAAAAACTGTGGCTACTAAAAGACAGAAGATAGTGCAAGAAAAGTCTCCATAATTGTGACTCCTCCCCACCATTTATCACAAGTGGGAGACAGACTCAAAAGATAAGGCATATAATTTCAAATGGAGAGGTCCACCTAACAAGAAGATAAGGAAGAATTCGGTGGAGATAAGATGGCCTAACTACCCAACAACGAAAGATGGAAAACACCTGTCAAGATAAGATTCCCAAAAACTTCTATAAAAGGGGATAAGGAGGAAGAAGGAAGACATCTCGAAACAACTTATCTCTAAAACACTCTGAAGAAACATATCTTAGAGATATATCTTTTGTAATCTGTATACACCACTTGTATTCAGAAAAATATTAAATAGCTTGAAGATAGTAAAGCGTGTAATAAGGTAATTACTTATGGAGTTCTAAACTTCATAAGGTAAGTACCAAATGTATGTAAATATAGTTTGTAAACATGTACAATTTCAGTTTATAAATATCAAAGTAAAGTTTGTTATGTTTAACAAAACTTTCATAAAAGGATTTCGTTAAGTTTCTCATGATTCCTCGGTAGTACAGATAGAGATTTTAAAAGATTTTCAAAACATTGATTTTGAATGGATATTAGCCATGCCAAAGTACACGTCTTTGATGAACGGTTTAGGGAAAAAAGACAGTTTTCTAACAAAACTTGAAGCACCTTGTGTGTGAGTTATCTTTTAAAATTTCGTTCCAAGTAGGAACTTGATTCTGAAAAGAGTTTGGATAGATGTGAAAACAGAGACTCTGGATACTGTGAGATAGCGTCTGTGGCAATACGGCTAGTTCTCTAGAGTGAGATATGCAACCTTAATTGAAAAGCGTTTTGTGGAAGCAGTTGTGGACCCAAATGATTTCAAAAATATTTTAAATCTTTACTTGATTCAGAAGATTGATTAAGTACATGCAAAGTATCTATAAGAGCATACTGGAGGGAAAGTCTGTTTACTTCCATTTGATTACTGTAAGTTATTTACTTGTTTTTACATGCTTATACTTTAATAATTCTGATGAAAAATTCACAAGCATCCACTTCCACTACTAATGATGATAATAATCCCATATTATTTTTAGATGAAAAAAATGTTTCGTTTTTATTTAAATTAGATGAAAAGTCTGAAGATATATGTCCTGTTAGCAAAGAAAAAATTGAAGAAATATATAGAGATATAAATCATAATTGTAAAAATAATATATGATTTGATTCTGTAGGAACTAGTAGAGAAATAAGAAAGATAGATTATAACTAAACATAGAGATATACAAGAAGAAATTTCAGAAGGATTAGTTCGAGGATATATAACCAAGAAAGATTAGCCTAGAACCTTTGAAGAGCTACTAAAATATAAAGAATATTTAAATATATTTAAGAGATTGAAAAATATAGATAGAGGTCCTGATTAATAAATTCTTAAAGATATAAGATACATCTTACAAATAATTATAGTAAAGGCAAAATAGTACTTCCAACAGAAAAGGCCATTGTGAAAAATATGATCAATTTTTCAGCCATTCTAAAAACTACCCCTTTCATAGATACCAATAAAATTATGAATGAATCTTAACAATTTTTTATGTTGCAGAACTACCCTTCCTTAAATAAATTAGATTATTTTTTAGCTACAAAATAACAACTAATATTATGTATTATTTCAATTGATTGTTTTAAGTTTTTATTCATCGAACACGTTTTGTTATTGAAAGATAGTAATTAAGAATTTTTATTTGTTTTTCCAACATTGGACTGGCCAACTGAAGTATTTTCTAAATTTTTTAAATAATTTTTAATTAAACACTTTTAAGAAGCATGTGAATATCAGCAAAGCAATAATATAATATTATGGTTGATACTTTACATTCATTCACGCACATACAGATACTTACGTCTCTGTCATTGTGAAGCGAACTTGCAAGCCGCTCCAACATTGAATATGCAAAATCTCCTCCTTACTTTTATCTCGTTCCCAATCCTTATTTTCCTCACTGATTTCATCCACAAAATCATATGGGTCCCCTTCAAAATCCAAAACCACTTCAGAAAGCAAGGGATTTATGGCCCTACCTACCGTCCGATCTTCGGCAACACGGCTGAGATCCGAAGGCATATGATTGCCAAAGCAGAGTCGAGCCCTCTCTCTCAAATCACACACGATATAGTTCACAGGGTGATCCCACATCATTACAACTGGTCGACGCTCTATGGGAAGACTTTTCTGTTCTGGTTTGGGGCCAAGCCCAGATTGGCTATAGCGGATCCGGATCTGATCAAAGAGATTTTGATTAATTCTAATGGCAATTTTGGGAAAATTCAATTCAATCCTTCTTCTAAGATTCTTTTTGGTGATGGGCTTGTTGTGCTGGATGGGGACAAATGGGCCGTCCATAGGAAGATCACTGGCCAGGCCTTTAACATGGAAAGAGTAAAGGTGGGTAATCTACCTAATTGCCATTTCTTTTAGAAAAATAATATTTGTCAACTTCTTACATTCTATTAACTTTTTAATATGCCACTGAATTCTTTTTTATTTAGGGTACAATGTTTATAAATTGGTGAATGGCTCGTGTTAATCTAATCTTATATATGTTCGATCGAGTGATCAACAAAATCATTATCACATCTAGGCATCGCTGACACACTGTTATGGCACGGATCACCGTCTTAGAAAAAAAATTAATGATCGTTCGTACTTCAACGGTAACGGAATAAAATGTGTGCAAATAGAGATGGATGAGTGGGAATTTGCCTGGGGCTTAAAATGCACATGCCTTGGTTGCAAAATGAAATATAGTAACCAAGAAGAACTTGTTTGGTTTAATTGGTCCAATCAAATTAATATAATCGACGTCCCATAATTTATAGATATAACAACTTGTTAACAATTTTTATAAATAGGTTGAATTCACTACTCAAACCACTCTTACACACATCGTTGAGTTAATGAAACATCAAGTTCTTCCAACATGTAGACGAACATTTTCATCTTTGCATGACAATCATAGATAGCATTGATCATGGTCATAGAAAATGTTGGAGAATTCAAAATAATTAATTAATAGGAGAAGCTAACATAAATTAATACCTTTCTTCTAAGCTGTTACCAAAAAGGCTTGTTTTCACAGGGTTGGATCCCAGAAATAGTAGCTAGTACAAAAAAGATGATGCACGGATGGGAGCAAGAAACAAGCGAGAGGAGTGAATTCGAGGTGGATGTGCACAAAGATCTTCATGAGCTCTCTGCGGACATCATATCCCGAACTGCTTTTGGTAGCAGTTTTGAGGAAGGGAGACGTATTTTTGAATTACAAGAACAGCAAGCTAATCTTTTTTTGCAGGCACTCCGAAGTGTATACATCCCTGGATTCAGGTTTCGATCTTGTAAATTGTGATGTTTTTGTTGCCTTATTTTGAATCAGTAGATGAATTTCCAGAATCCAGATTCCTTCATTTCTAAATATTGAAGTGGATGCAGGTTTTTGCCTACCAAGAAAAATAAAATGAGGTGGAATTTAGAGAAGGAAACTCGAAAGTCAATAAGAAAAATTATCGAGAATAACAGCAAAATTAGAGAAAACCCGCAGGCTCTACTTACATTATTATTGTCTCCATATAAGTCAGAGAATGGTAAAGAGGAAAGACTTAACGCAGAGGAAATCATAGATGAATGCAAAACATTCTACTTTGCAGGAAAGGAAATAACTGCAAATCTATTGAGTTGGGCGCTTCTTCTATTAGCAAATCATCAAGAATGGCAGATTAGGGCACGGGAAGAAGTTTTCGGCACCTGCAGAGGTGGGGCGTTACCGACTGCAGAAAATTTAACTGACCTGAAACTTGTAAGTTCTCAGCTCTCAGCTTGTCTTGGATGTTTCTGAGTTGATGACGAATTTTGTGTTTTAATGGCAGATTGGCATGATAATCAATGAGACTCTTCGACTCTACCCTACAGCAGTAGCGCTGACGAGACAAACATCTAAGAATGTTAAGTTGGGAAGCATCGACATTCCTGCTAATACGCAGTTCTATTTGGCCATGACTGCTGTACATCATGACACGAAAATTTGGGGAGACGATGCAAATGAATTTAACCCTCTGCGATTTGCTGGACCTCGAAAGCATTTAGCATCATTTTTCCCGTTCAGTTTAGGCGCGAGAATCTGCGTCGGTCAAAACTTAGCTATTGTGGAAGCTAAAGTCGTTCTAGCCATGATCATCCAACAGTATACTTTTGTAATTTCCCCATCTTATGTTCATGCACCAATCCAGTCTATGACCCTGCAACCCCAGTATGGTGTACAAATTCTCTTTAGCAGGATTTAAGAAATTTGATAAACAACTAGATATTGTGTTCTGCCAATCTAGTTTGTTGAAAATGGCTTAATTTGTGGGTTCTTTTGTGAGATTCGATGATGAACATTACAATAAAATGTATTTCCAATTGTCCTTGTTGCATTGATTATCGTCCTTGGAGCTCTGAGCTGTACTGATTATATTTTGGGTTATGCTAGAAAAACAGGGAGATTTTTCTAAATGGCCTATCACTATTCATTTTTGCCAAAATGTCTATAATACCCTTAATGAAATAGTTTGCCATATTTTGCACAAAATATCCCAAGTTATTGGAATAGTTCCACAATTCTTCTATTTCTCTCATTTGGAATTTTAATATATAGTTCTATCCTTTGATATAATAAATTAGCATAATTTGTAATATAATTATCATGTACTTCTTTAAGATTATCATATTCGTTAGATGATATATCCATAGTCTCTAGTTGAGAAAAAATATTTTTTATTTTTTCTAATAGTCTTTTTAACAGATTATTTAATCCTTTAATTGTATAGTCTGGCATTATTTAGATAATTCCTTACAAACTTTATGAATAATAATAACATGATAAATAAGTTTTTTGCAAATATGAAAAGTAATAATTCCTACGATTCTTTCAAGATATTAGACGAATTCTTTTTAAATTTAACAAAGACAATAATTTTACCTTACTTATGATCTCAAATCTGTATTCTTAGAACCGAATGACCTTCAGGCTCTGAATCTGCAAACTGCTCCCTCAGACGGCCTTTTGCCTTGATGGGAATTCTGCTATTTCAGCTTCTTGCCCTCACTGTATCTTTTCTTAGAATTAAGAATGATGATCTTAAGTAAAGAATATTCTCTCTTTGTTAAAGTAAGAAAGAGATTATTCTCTTCAATTTGTCAAAAATCTATGGGATAGGAAGTTTAGAAACTAATATTTTTCTGATATCAAAAGATTGAGATTTTATTTCTATAATGATTTATACAAGATTTCTATTGTATACAAGGAGTTTTAAAGAAAGTTTAAGGAAAGAGAATGGTTTCTAACTCGAGATGCTCCATTCTTTCCCCAAAGACCTCTATTTATATATGACTTAAGCTTACTATTATTGATCTATTACATCATTGCATGCATCAAAATTTAAAAAAGCTCACACGCCTCTCTATTTTTTTCCTCCTGGGGTCTACATTTTCACATGCATTTTTTGTTTTTTCATCAAAGGGGCATCTTTTCCTCTATTATTGTCTCTTCAGTTTTGGCTCCATATGCAGCTGACTAGATGCTTTGGTAGTAGTAGGTCCCCTTTTATTTATCACCATTCATCTTTTATCTTGAAGAATCAATCTTTTAATCTTGTTTGCATGTGAGGCATTCCCTCAATCTGCATGATTCTTGGATTGTTGTAAGACTTCCATTAATTTGATAAATATCAAATTTTTGGATATATTCTTTCAAAATAGTAGATTTTTCTTTTCTATTATTCGTAAGGAGTGTCCATCCTTCATATTGGTACAAGCATCTGAATTTTTTATCATATAAATTCTTTGCAATATTGTAAACAACTTTCATCCTCAAAATTCTTCGGGATTTTATCCATGATTTATTGATTTTAGGCAATGGTTTATTATTTCGGCCAACTTCAATCTGGAAATCTCGACCAACATATCCAATTGTGATAATATGTTCAACAAGATGGTATATCCTTCCATCAACCTCTGGACTTATTGAATAAAATTTGATATAAATCGATCTTCCTTAGGTAAATTTTGAAACTTCTGCCCTGAATATATCATCAAAATTTTCAATTTCGTTAAAATCTTTTCCTGAATAGATCAAATCCAGAAATCCATAATCTGCTGTCATTTTGACCATGAAAGAGTCTGCATCTTTGGTAATTATTAATTTGGGATAAACATGATCTCCCGATACAATAAAATATGATTCATTTTCTTCCAATTCATAAACAATTTTGGCAAATGATCTATATTCTTCTTCTTTTGATGATAAAGGGGTATCATCATTTTCATCAGTTTTGATTCTGATAACTCTTATATGTTCATCACCATTTTTTATAGTCACCTTCCGGGGATTTGCTATATCTCATTTGATATTAGTGGGTCCACTGCTGCTTTTCTGACTGTGTACCTGTTTGTATTTTTGAGATTGTATCAATTGGTATTTCCTATTTGGTATTTAATGACTCGAATTGTGAAGTAATATCAACAATTCTGTCATTCAATTCTTTGGTATATTTGGAATGAGAATTAGAGATTTCCACCAACAATTTGAAATTTTGTTGGATAGATTCTGTCATTTGCTCTAATTGCTCAATTCCAATTTTCATATCTTCTTATTCTTCCATGAGAAATTTTATTCGTCTGTTGACATCTATTAATGAATTTTTGATATTATCTATCTCCGAGTTCGATATTCCTGCTCAAAAAATATGCAAGATAGTTATTTATTCCTTTAATATGAATAATATCAAAATTGTAGAATGATAAATATGCTTGCCATCTGTGTAACCTTCTATATTGAGGTTCCATATGTAACTTATTTCTAATAAGTCCTGCAACTTGAGAATTATCAATTTCAACAATAATTTTTTTAGATAAAAGGAATAATGAAATTTTTTTTATTCCTCTAATAATTGCTAATAATTCTTTTTCATGGGTAGTATGATTTATTTTTGCTTGGTTAAAAGTTCCACTTGAATATCTGCATATTTCATTTAAATCTGTTTTTAATATAGCTGCCCAACATTTATCCGAGGTATCAGTATTAACAATTAGATTATCTTTTTTATCTGGTAACCTTAATTTTGGTAAATTTTTACATTCTTCTTTTAATGATTTAACAAATTCAGTATGTTCTTTGTTCCAACCTTTAGTATTTGTTTTCCTAAGTAAAATTTGTATCTTATGTCTCTTTTTTGAGAGATTTTCAATAAATCCTTCAATATAGTTTAAACATCCTGAAAATTTTTGTATTTGTTCTTTGAATTTTAATTCATTTGAAAAGCTTTCTATATCTTTAGATATATGAATCTGTAATTTTATTTATTTTCTATCTATTGATAATTCTCGAAAATCTATTTCTTGTTTCTCAATTATAGATTTCTTTTTAGAAAATACAATTTCCTCCTTTTTGCATTCATTTATGAATTGTAATAAATGACCCCTATGTTCTCTTTTATTATTAGAGCATATTAGTACATCATCTATATAAACAATAAGAAAATCACTAAACTTTTTGAATATATTATCCATTTTTCTTTAAAATATTCGTGGTGCATTTTTTAAACCAAATGGCATAACTAATCATTCATATTTTTCTTGAGGTGTACTAAAAGCTGTATATTGTATACTTCTTCTTCTATTTTAATTTGCCAAAATCCTGATTTACTATCAAATTTGAAATAATATTGTTTTCCTTTTGCAAGATTTATTAGGACTTCTTTATTCGGTAAAAAGTAACCATCAAATTTAGTATATTTATTTAGTTCTTTATAGTTTATTACCATTTTAGTTTTTCCTCTAATCTATTCAGAATGTTTCATAACCATAAAAGTTTGACTACTATGAGGTCCATTATCGAGTCTAATTAAATTTTGTTCTAATAATTCTTTTATTTGAATTTAAAATTCTTGCATATCCTGTAAGGTATACATCATTGATCTAACTCTTATTATAACATTTTCTGTTAATTCTATTTTAGCTCTAGGATGATATGGTTTCTAAAATAATAATGGGTTTTCTCCATAAATTTTTTCTAATTGTTCTATAATTTTTTTCATACTTATTTCTATTTCTGTTTTTATGGTCTTTTTGTATGATAGTTTTTTTATTTTTTAGTTTATCTTGTACTATTGGTCGTTTTTCCCATTTATCACCACATTGGGTTGACTGAACTCTATAGGGTCTAAATTATCTTAGTATTTTTAATAGATGTACACAAGCTGTTTATAACATTATCATGTAATTATTTTGTTTATAATATTGAAATTGTTGGATAAAATTATTTCTTAATATTATATCACATTCTAATTTATTATAATTATATACTTGATTTATTATAACTTGTTTACTATCAAGTATTATATTAACTTTTTCTGCACTATCAATTATTTGAGTGCTTTCTCCAGTCACTCCTGTTATTTTTATTTTACTATTTTTATTCCATGATTTTATTAAGAAATTTTTAAAAATTGTTATATCACTTCCTATATCAAGTAAGGCACAAGTTGTTATGTTTGTTTTTACTATAATAACTTGTATATATACTGCTAATGAAAAACTTATTTGATTATTCATCCACTTCCTATTTTACATAATGTAGATTGTCTTTTATGAGTTATATATAACCCTTCCCTTTTTATACTATAATCTTCTAATCCATTTAAGGAACTCATTCCTAATAATATATGAGGTTCAATATCCATACTTTCATCCAAATAACACGGTACTAAGAGATCAATCCCACCTATTTTTATTGATACCTTTACCTTTAATTCTGTAATATATAGTTGTCCATCAAAATTTCTGTATTCATATGGTTCTGTTTTATAAGTCATTTATCCTTCATTTTTAGTTGCAGCCATATGACATTCACTAACACCTGTATCTATCAATATATTTGGTACTTTTATATACCTTCTACCATTGAAATATTTTCCTTCTATTTTTATATTTCCTATATTTCCATGAGGTTTTATTTTTTTTATACCACTAGTTTCTCCTAAATATTTTTTTTTATTAGGTAGTCTAAAATTTTTTGATTTCTTTATCAACCTTCCATTATAAAATGTTATTTTATAATCTTCTTCTTCTCTTAGCTCTGTTATTTCATACTTATTTTTAGTTATATTAAATTCATATTCTTCTGGGATAAGATTTATTTGTTTGTTTGGTTCCACTATTTTACTAATATCTTTAAATTACTTATGAATTTTTATGTATGATTTATTAGAATAAATATTCCCATAATAAGAATTAGTAAATGTATATAATGCCTTATATTCCATAGTCATAATTTGGTCTCCTGGTTCCATTATATCATTTCTATGTAATTTGAAACGTAATTCTAAGACTTTATTAAAATTTTTATCTTTCAATGAGATAAAATATTTTGGGTAACAAGTAAATA